GGGGCCCAGACCTGCCCCCCAGCCCTGAGCTGGGGGGGTGGTCCCTGCAGACAGTAGGGCTTCTTAGTGTCCCTAACCCTTGTCCTGCCCCACAGCCTGGCCCTGGTCCCCAGCTCGTGGATGATCCCAGCCAGCACCTCCTGGGAGCAGATGGGTTGCCCCGACGCCGCGCTTGAGCCCCGGTGACGCCTCCAGGAACACCCCTGGGACAGCCGGGACATGCCAGGAAGGCTCTGCCAGTGCCACCCAGGGGGCTCAGGACCCTGAGCCACACCTGCTGTGCCCAGCCCTGGGTCAGGATGTGACCCCAGGGCTGGTTTTTACTCTTTTGTAAGGAAATAGAGGGTTCCTGGCTGTCGTTTTGGGGTGTCGGGCTCTGTGTGTGCTGGTGGGGGGGACAGTGCCAGCCAAAATGGGGGGCAGGAGTGGGGATGGTTCCTCCTAATGGCTGTGCCTGGGGCTGATCCTGCACAGCCCTATCTCTCTCCCCACCTGAGCCCTGTCCCCACCATGCCTATTGCGGGGCTGCTCCTGTCCCATATAACCCCCAGTTGTCCCTACTGGGACTGATCCTGTCCCCCAACATGGCCCCTGTCCCTTGCACATCCCCTGTCCCTGCTGGGACTGACTCTGTCCCCCTGTACAGCCCCTGTCACCTTATACGGTCCCTGTCCCTTGTGCATCCCACATCCCCTGTCCCCTCCCAGTTCTTTGCAGGACTGATCTTTTCCTTGGTCCCTCAGATGTCCCTTGTGGGGCAGCTCCTGTCCCCTGTCCCCCCAGTCGTTCCTGTTGGTGCTGATCCTGTCCCCCTACATAGCCTCTGTCCCTTGCAGGACTGATCCTGTCCCACATCCCTCAGGTGTCCGTTCTGGGTCTAATCCTGTTCCCCCCGTGTTCCTTGTGGGGCTGATCCTGTCCTGGGCAAGACAGATCCTGTTCCCTCCCATGCCATCCTCATCAACCCAGCATGTCCTGTGTCCCACTGTGTCCCTTGAACTGATCCTACCCCCTGGACCAGACTGATCCTGTCCCCCCACACCATCCTCATCATCCACCACGTCCCCTGTCCCCTCGGGGTCGGTGCCGTGTCCCCTCGGGGGGCTGCGGGGGGTCCCCGCGGGGGCGTGGCCAGAGTGGAAAGAGGCGTGGTCGATGGAAAAGGGCGTGGTCCGCACTTGCTTACATTGTATGCGCCTTCCGGGTCGGGGCCAGCCGAGCAGGGCAAACCCGGGCCGAGCCTAACGGGGCCGGGACCCGCCGAACCCTATCGGGCCGAGCCTAACGGGGCCAGGAGCAGCCAAACCCGCTCGGGCCGAGCCGAACAGAGCCGGGAATAGCTGAAGCCGCTCGGGCCGAGCCGATCCCGTGCGGGCCATGGGGCAGATCGAGTGGGCCATGTGGGCGAACGAGCAGGCGCTCGCCGCGGGGCTCAGTGAGTGCGCGGGGCCGAGAGGGGCCGGGAATGCCGGGGCCGGGCGGGGGATGGGGACCCGGGAGCTGGAGGGAAAGAGAGCCCGGCGGGCTTGGAGTGCTGAGCCCCGGGCGTGCTGAGCCCCGGGGTGCCCCCAGACACGGCCCCGAGAGATGGGAAGGTCTCGGTCCCACCGACCAAACGCTGGGGGCTGCCGGGGGGTGCAGGCGGGAGGCGCCGGGACGACCGGGAAGTCCCGTCCCAGCAGGGGATGCGCAGGGCTGGGAACTCCGCTTCCTCTTTTTCTCTTCCTCCTCTGCCCTCTTGCTCGTCTCCTCCTCCTCTCTCCTCTCTTCCTCCGGCCGCAGGGCCAAAAACCTCCCCGCGAAGTCCCACAAGCCTGAAGCTCTCCAGTTGCCTGAATCCAAGGGGTCCCGCATACAACATCTGCCTAGCATCCCACTTGTCAAAGTCCCCCGGGGCCATGGAGACCCCCATTTCCCTTCCCTCAGTCCAAGAAATCCTACATGTCAGGTTCTCAAGGATCCCCACGTGCCAGGTTTGGGGTTATCTTATGTTAGGCATTTGTCTCCTGAGTTTGGGGGTCTGTATCCTGGGTTTGAGTGTTTGTATCTCGGGTTGGGGGTTTGTATCCCGAGATGGGGGGGTTGTATCCCGGGTTAGGGGTCCGAATCCTGCCCTGGGGGTCGTGTCATGGGCCGGACCCCTCCATCCCGCGCTGTCTCCGCAGTCCTGGTGACGGGCGGGATCGTGGCCGTGGCGGGGCAGTTCAAGGGCTGGTACTTCGCTGCGTACTCCATGTATCCTTCCCGAGAGCATTCCCGGGGCTGGGCGGCGGAAAAACACTGTCCCGATGGGGGTGGGAAGCACAAACAGGGGGGTCACATCCTCCTCCTCCCCACGCTGGTCCCAAATCGTGCTTTCCCTGCCTCAAACAGCCCCTTCTTGGGGTGAGGGTTGTGCCTTGGGACTATGCCCAGTGCGATGCCCCCTTTCCTTGACCCCCTGGCAGCGCGGCAGGCATCCTGGTCTGCCTGCTCGAGTATCCCAGGAGCAAGAGGAAAAAAGGCTCCACCATGGAGAGATGGTAAGTGATGGGTTCCCCGCCCTCACCCCTGGGACTGGGGTCCTGGTACCCCCCCAAACACAGGGATGTGGCACCGGGGATGGGAGCGGTGGGGTGGGAGCAGAGCTGGATCCTGTGTTCCTTGGGTGGTCCATGCAGGACAGTGTGGAGATGGGGGTCCCTGGGAGCCCCTGGGTGAGGACACCCCCTCTGATCCCTCATGTTGCTCTGCAGTGGCCAGAAGTACATGACAGCCGTGGTGAAGTTGTTTGGGCCCCTGACCAGGAATTACTACATCCGAGCCATCCTTCACGCCGCGTAAGTGGGATACGGGCTCAGGGATGGGGTCCAGGCCCCCTTGACACCCCCTGAACCCCGAATCTCTCCCCCAGCCTGGCTGTCCCCGCTGGTTTCCTCCTCTCCACCATCCTGGGCACCGTCTGCCTGGGCATCGCCAGCGGCATCTACCTGCTGGTGAGTGCAGGGAGGGTTTGGGGGACTCTTTGGGGGGGCTGGGAGGAGGACGAGACCCCCCCTGACGCCCCCATGGCTTTGCAGGCCGCGGTGCGTGGGGAGGAGTGGAGACCCATCGAGCAGAAGCCCCGGGAGCGGCCGCAAGTGGGGGGCACCATCAAGCAGCCCCCCAGCAACCCCCCACCCCGGCCCCCCGCAGACGCACGCAAGAAGCAGCCGGCGGAGGTGGGGGGGCAGGTGAACCCCATCCCTGTGGAGGCTGAGTAACGGGGGGATCCTCCTGCCCTGCTCTGCTGCTCCTGCTCCCGCTTCCTGGCTGCTTCCCAGATTCACTATGGGAAACAGGGGGCCCAGCTCCAGGGGATCCCCAAGGCCCTGGGGCTGCTCAGCTCATCTCCAGCTCCTGGCGATGCTCAGGTCCCTGAGGATCATCAGTTCCCCCTGGGCTCCCCAGCTATCCAAAGGATTCCCAAATCCCCAGGGACGCTTAGATCCCTGTGGGATCTCCAGGCCCCAGGGGCTCTCCAACATCTTGAGATCCCCAGATCTCTGGAAATGCTCAGCTTTTTAGGTGTGTCTCCAGCTTCCAGGGCTCCTTAAATTCCCAGTCTACAATGCTCCCTGTGGGATCTCCAGTCCTCAGGGGTTCCCCAACTTCTGGAGATTCACAAATTCCTGGGGATGCTCAGCTTCCTGTGAGGTCTGCAGCCCTTAAGGGCTTCCCAGCTTCTGAGGATCCCTAAAGCCCTGGACATGCTCAACTCCCTGAGGGTGTCCCACCTCTCCAAGCAGCTCCCAGTTCCCTGGGGGATCCCCAAATCCCTGTGGAACACTAGCTCTCAGGGACCCCCAGCCCCAGGGGAGGTCAGGCAGCTCTGCTCTCATCACCAGCACTCCCTATTTTTTGTCACTTCCGTAGTTGCTGTTGCAATAAAAAGTGGGAAAGGCACTGGCTCCCGCTGCTTCCCACACCAGGGAGGAGCCTTCCTCTCCCACGGAGGGTCTCCTGATCTGGGGAGGCTGGGGCTGGATTGGGGGGATGTTTTGAGGCCAAACTGTGATTATGGGCAAACCCAGGGTGGGCGTGCTCAGAGTGCAGCCACTGCAGGTTCCCCTTCCAAAATCCTTATGGACCCCATAGTGGGGTGAAACTGGAGGGGCCCTGCACTAGAGCTGCACAGAGAGTCCCAGTGGAGTCCCCCAAAACCTAGGATGACACCCCAGCAGGGAATGTGAGGGCATTTCCCTTCCCCGCTTCCATTTGTGGATGCTGGAAGGTGCTTGGGTGCGATGTGGGTGCCAAACCTTGACTCTGTTGGGCACCAGCAGCTACTCCAAAACCCCTTCCCACACAAACAATTTTTTTTGGGGGGCACAGCCACCCCAGAGCTCCCCCAGGTGCTGCCAGGACAGGTGGGGTGGCCCTGGCAGGTGGCACCAGGCCCATGGGATGTGGGTGCAAGGTGTGGGTGTCGGGCTGCTGGGGGTGGGTGACACCCCTGTGCCCTGCTGCCCATTCCATCAACCTCCCAGTTCACCCAGCCCTTTGCCCATCCCACTAAGGGATGTCCCACAGCCTTACCTTGCTCCACAGGGCACCCATGGATGTGCCCCCAGTTCCCAACATCGCACTGCCCTGACTGGGAACAGAGCAGGGACCGTTTTGGGAAAGGTTAACTTTTATTTGCAGCATTAAATAGCACACAGAGAGGAGACAATAAATAGCTTTTTGGGGGAATAAATAACCAGCGAGTGCCCAGGCAGCGCTCGCAGAGTCCGGCCGGGGGGTCTTGAGCACTGTGGGGCAATGCTGGACCCGGAGTCACAGCCGTGGCCGGGGGAGTCAGCAATAAATAGGGGGTAAAAAACGTCCCCCGGCTGCAAGGCTTATAAATAACTCATAAATAATGAGGTGAGGGGCTGGGAGGACGCCCTGGCTGGGGGTGGGTGCTCTAAAACAAGCACGGGCGGGGGGGATGCGGTGACATGGTCACACTAGGGGGGCTCCACGGGAGCAGGGGAGGGTCAGCGCCCGGTGCGGGGCAGGACACAGGTGCAGCCCACGGGCACCTTGATATAATCCACCTCGAAGGTGACGAGGCCCAGCCCGGCGGGGTGCGGGCAGGGCTTGCGCCGCAGCACCATCATGGTCTGGTGGATGGTCACCGAGTTGAGCGACGTCGTCTCCCGGCCCGTCTTGACGTCCACACAGCCGCTGCACAGGCACTCGGCGAAGGCCAACTTGCGCGGGTACCGGTTCTCGTCCTCGTCGATGCTGCGGGGGGGACACGCTCGGTGAGACCCTTCCCTGTGCCCCCTGGGTCACCCCTGCTGGGATCAGCCAACGGGGGTGCACTGGGAAGGGCAGACATGGAGGTTGGGGTGCCGGTGGGGTGTCACGGACTCACCGGTAGCGCCACGGGGAGATGGAGCGTTCGTTGGGTTCGCTGCGGAGGCTGGCACGGGGCTGCAGCGCGGGGCAGGCGTGCAGGTGGTGCCGCCGGTGCCGCCGGTGCCTGGTGCTCTCCAGCTGCTCCAGCTGTGGCACCAGCTGCACGGGCACGTAGCGGTCCCAGCGCAGGCTGCGCCCCAGCAGCTGCGAGGGGGGCTCATCCCCCAGATCGGCGCCGCTGTAGCACAGCACGGGGTGGGCGTGCGGGGAACCCCCGGGGCGCCGCAGCCCCTGGCACAGCACCAGCACGCCCAGCAGCGCCAGGGCACCCAGCCAGCCCTGCGGGAGACAGCCGGTCAGGGGGCACAGCAGTAACACCCCCACACATACCCACCCAGGGGGCTCAGTGGTGAGATGGCATCACCCCCAAACACGGCAGGGGTTCAACACACTGAGCTCCAGCACAGCCTCCCCAAAATGCGAGTCTGCACCCACATGTGCACCAGCACCCAGAGCGTGGGCACGTGTGTGTATGTATATCTATATATATCTATTTCTGTACTGTATATCTCTATCTATATATCTCTATCTTTGTATTTCAATATCTGTATCTATCTATATGTTTCTATATCTACATATCTGTGTAGCTATTCATCTCTCTATATATCCCCACCCCTAAAAAATAGCACACATATGTGACACAAGCATGTACACACACAATATCAACACCACCCCCTCATACATACACAGGGATTACCTGTACATATATAGACACTCAGGAAATATTTGCATAAATATATATATATATATGTACACACAGGGGGCTAGAACAGATGTATACAGACCTCCACCCATAAGACAGTGGCACATGTGTGTGCAAGACACATGTACACGCAGACACACAATCAACATATATACACAGCTATACATAGACAGCAGCTACCTATATATACACATATATACATCTATATACACACAAAATACAGAATGCACACACACAGAGGGCCAGCACTCACATATACATAGCCCCAACCCTAAAGCTGTAGCACATATGATACAGGCATGTACACACACACACACACACATATATATATCCTGAGCTATAAATACACAACAACCACCTCCATACATACACATATATGCACACACAGAGAATACCTGTGTGTATGTACGTGTGTATATATATATATATGTACACCCACAGATATATATATTCATATACACGTATACACAGATGTAAACATACATACACACACATATACACATACACGTATACATACATACATATACACACACACACATCTGTATGCTCACAGAGCCAGCACACACATATAACACACCCCCACCCTTACAGGAGTAACACGTGTGTGCAAACATACACGTGCACCCAAACATGTTTACTGCTAATCACATACACACCCACGCACATATAGACATCTATGTACAGACACAGACAGAAAGTACCTCTTTCTGTGTGTGTATGTGTGTGCGCACATAAAATAATAAATAAATACTGCTTAAATATAAAGAAATAACATAAAAATACATGTTAAATAAAAATATATAGAATGAAAGTAATATAACTTCTATTGTTGTATTAAAATATTAAATAAAACTATAAAATATAAGTAGTACATCAAAACCTTGCAATAATAAATAAAATTATGTTTGTGTTGGTAGCGTATACACACACAGGGTATCAGCACAGGCACATGTGTGCACACATGAAGATACCAGCACGTGTGTAACACACACATTATCACCTGTGTGTGCACACATACATAGATACAAGCACACACACACACATACATATAAATAAAAGTATATATGTATGTATATACATATATATATATATGCACATCTACATGCCCACACTACCCTGCTGTGCACAGACACATGGACACACACACACAGTAGACCCATGTATGTGCACACATAGATACATGTATGTGCACACATGTACACAGAGGCACATGTATGTACACACACGTGCACACACAGACATGCATGTGCACAGAAAGACATGCATGTGCACACAGACACATGTATGGACACAGAGAGACACGTATGTACACACACACACACACACACACACACACAAACACAGCGGTATCAGCTCTGGTGCATCTCCACACCCACGCAGAGCTGACAGGACATATCCATACATGCATATGGCCAGGTGTGCCAGCACACGTACACACACACACACACACACACACACCCCTCCAAACTGCCCCTCCGTGGGCACACGGACACACACCACCCCCTGCCCCAGCAGCCACAAACACACCTGTGTCCCTGGCAGGTGTGCACATAATTCTGGGCAGCCCTTGGAGCACTGTATTCCCCCACATATCACACACATATATACAATATAAACACACATAAATACATGTCTCCAAGTACAAACCCAGCAGCACACGTCTGTCCACATGCACACACATGTCACTGGCACATGTGTATCTACACACACCAGCCTTCACGTTCCCACCCTTCCAAGCTGGGAATCCTTATACACACACACACGGAGCCCTGCACATGACATGTAACACACACACACACACATGTATTGTGCCCACACACTCCCAGCAGCCCCACGCTCACACCTCCCAGCCCCCCCCCCAAGCCCCACGTTACCATCAGCCAGGTGTCGAGGCAACACGCCAAAATTTGGGGGAAGTGAACACGCCAAAATTTGGGGGGGTAACACGCCAAAATTCGGGGGGGACCCCTTGGGAAGTGCTGCCCTAGGGATGAGGCGGCCGAGTGGCAGCGCTGCCGCTGCCGCCGCCTTTTTATAGGGCTCGGCAGGTGATGTGCACACACCTGGAAACTCCAGCTCCAGGTTCCTTCCTCCTCCCCGCGGGCCGGTGCACTTCCTTCTCTACTCCACGTGTGCCAGCCTGGAATACAGCCTGACACCTCCAGGATTTCAGGAGGGAGGATGGGAAGGGGTGTCCAGAGGCTTGGCTGCCCCGATGACACCGTGATGGGCATCCCCCAGGCCATACCCATTGCATCACCCCCGCAGTGATATCACCGGGGCAGCCAGAGAAGAAATCCCAAATTGGGCAACCCTGGAAAGGGCTGAAGGGCAGCGATTACCCCCTGCTGATGCTCTTTGCTCCAGGATGTCCCAGTGGCCTCAAACAGCATGGGTGGGATACTGATTTCATACTGGGTATAAAGAGCAGGGCTGCAGGATGGGAAATTCCAGAGCACTGGGAAGTCAGAGACCCCAAATACTGTTCCTTAAATTAGGGGGATTTATCAGAGGGACCCTCAGATGATCCCACCCATGGCACTGGCTGTAGAGACCCCCACTACTACCACCAGTGGGATACTGGTTTCATACTGGGTGCAAGAAGCAGGGCTGGAGGATGGGAAACTCCAGGAGATTGGGAGTTCAGGGACGCCAAACATCACCCCTAAATGAGGGAGGTTTATCAGAGGCACCCCCAGATGATGCCCCTCCCCCTAACATGTAATACCAGTGTGATACTGGTTTCATACTGGGAGCAAGGAGCAGAGCTGGAGCCCTGGGACAGGGAGTTCAGGGACCCCACAGACTGTTCCCTCATTGGGGGGGTTTATACAGGGCACCCCCAGGTGGTATCAGACGCTGGGCCCCCCACTAACACCACCAGTGGATACTGGTTTCATACTGGGTGCAAGGAGCAGGGCTGGAAGATGGGAAAGGCACACTGGGGGTTCAGGGACCCCAAATATCAACTTCTAAGTCAGAGGGATTTGTCAGAGGCACCCCCAGATGATGACCCCCACTACCACTGGGATACTGGTTTTATACTGGGAGCAAGGAGCAAGACTGAAGGTGGCAAAATTCCAGGGGATTGGGAGTTCAGGGAGCCTAAACATCACCCCTAAATGAGAGGGCTTTATAAGAGGTACCCTCAGATGATGCCAGTCAGGGCACGAGCTGCAGAGCCCCCACTAACACCACTGGGATACTGGTTTCACACTGGCTGTTCCTCCAGGAGATAGAGCAGCTCTTCCAGCTCCATGGAGCAGCAGAGTTGAAAACCTAAACTACAACCCCCCTCAAACTGAGGGGTACAGATCCCCAAGGTCAGGGAGAGGGTGGACAGGGGATGCAGAGAGAAGAGCAGGAAAAGGAAAAACTGGTTATCAAAATACTTTATTTCAGGGAGATCCCTCAAAAAAAAAAAAAAAAAAAAAAAAAAAAAAGGAGAGGGGGAGGGAAAATCAAAGGAAGAAGGACCCTCCTGTTAGACGGACATGCCCACAACACCTGCAGGGCTCCTGGGAAATCAACTGAACCAATCCGCTGCTCCAAAGAAACGACAGGTCATTCCCGAGGGGATTGAGGCAAGAATATATATATATTTGTTCCTGGGGGAGGAGGGGGTGTTGCCAGCAGTTCACAGCAGTTTTCGGCTCTCTCGGCACACAGGAACTAGAACTGCATTGCTGAAGACACTCAACACACAGCAGGGCTAACTAGGAGAATACAACTCGAGGCTAGCAAAGAGGGGAGGGGAGAGAGGAGAAGTGGGAGCATCCCACGGGGCTGGAGTCCTCTGTGCAGAATTTACACGGCTCCGGAGCCGCTGGCCCTCGCGGAGCCGGAGCGAGTCGTCGCGGGAGTCTCAGCTGACAGAATTTCCTTAATTTTTTTGTTTTGTATGGGTTTTTTAAAAAGAATCGCAGCCAAAATGAAGACAGAACTGCAAAATCCCAAAGTGGCCGCTTTTTCCACTATTTATAAAAACATCAACAGTCACTACGGGGCACGGCCCACTATACTTTTCCCGGGATTTTGGCCCGCTTGCGAGCGATGGCGTCTTCCACCGCCTTGAGCTGCTTCAGGAGCTCCTCCCGCCGTGACAGGGTGCTGGACTTGCCCCCCTTGACGGCCGCAGGACCTGGGTCGGATCCTTTGCCCGGGACACTCGTGACTTTGCTGGAGCTCTTGGATTGAGGGGAGAGCTGGCGTTTCCTGGGAGAGAGAGGAGGGAGAGGTAGGCGAGAGGCACTGGGAAAACTTCAAAGACATCTGCTCTGGTGGGATCATTAAGGGTGGAAAAAATATCATCAAGTCCAAGTTTCAACTGGATCCCACCATGCCCACTAAACCATGTGGAATCATGGAATCGCTTGTGTGGGAACTAAAATTTCATCCAGTCCCAACCCCTGCCATGGGCAGGGACACTTTCCACTATCCCAGGTTGCTCCAAGCCCTGCTCAGCCTGGTCTTGGACACTTTGAGGGATGGGGCAGCCACAGCTTCTCTGAGCAACCTGTGCCAGGGCCTCATAACCCTCACAGGGAAGAGTTTCTCCCTAATTTCTTATCTAAACTAATATATCAGGAAGTGTCACCCCTAACACATGACTCCAAGAGTTGATGGGAGAAAATATGAGGCCTTGGGTTAAAAACTGGCTGAAATAGTAAAAAAAATCAGCTGTTCCAGGGAGATTCCCAGAATAAACTCGGCACCATGGGCTGTGCCAAGCTCTTGGGTGCAGTGAGCAGCTCAAGGGAGTGGCAGAGACACAAAGAGGGATGAGCAGCTGTGGAGAAGCCCCACAATCCCAAATCCTGACAGCCCCTTCCCTGTGATGCCACTGGGTTTTTTGGTGCCCTGGAGAAACCCAACATGTCTGTAACACCCTCCCAGATGGGCACAGGGCACATCAAACCCACCATGTGGCAGTGCCAACCCAGAGAGCAGCAGGATTAGAGGGTCAGGAATCATGGATGTGGTACCAGCGCTGGAATGGCTGAGGTTCCTGTCACTGCTGGAAAACAGGACCTGAGGGCCTGAGGCAGGACAGGGCTGTGGCAGCAGGGTGAGGTTTTGGTTTGGGAAGACTCTGAGACATAGAAATTGAGGCTCATTCGTGGC